ACAATCAAAGGATTGTTTTTGAGAAATTTTTTTTTAAGATGCTTGATATTAAGATTTTATAAAATAAAAGATATATAATATTTTCATAATAGTAAAGGTCTCTCAACATTTTTACGGAGAAAATTCAACTTAAAAAAATTTTGCCCAACTCAGAAAAAGTTTGCCTGACTCAGAGAAATTTTAATTTTCTCAAAGAAATTTATCTAATTTCACAAGGAAATTTCAAAATTTCTCTATGATCATACCAGAGAAAATTTTTCTGAGTCGGGGTCAAAATTTCTTTGAGTCGGGTAAAATTTCTCCAAGCCAAATCTTCTCTGTGAAAATAGTTAGGAACCTTAGCTAATAAAAAAAAAAAAAAATCTTGACCTTTCTTACTACATAAAATTGGAAGGGGATATTTCACTAATTTACACTTGTTTTATGGTTTGCATGGTAGGTGCCATGCAATTTAATCACTGATTTGTATTACTCTTTCCATATAAAGAATTAAATAACCATAATAATATGTATTCTTTTTTCTCTTCGCCCAAACATAAATTTAAATTGTTTGGTGGACAAGAATTATTCGAATTTGATCCGTAGTCATTGGCGTTGCAGTAGACCTAATTTTCGGTGACGCAACATTTTAATTTTAGAGGACGAATTTATATTTGAGGAAATATCATTTTGTCGGTAAAAATTATCACTCAAAAATTAGTTTAATTCATTTTTTTTGTAAAATAAAATTTATATTTAAATTATTTAATTTGTATTGATTTTATCTTCGCTGTTAATTGTCGTTTATAATCAAACAGAAATTACTGGCATGATATCTAAATTTTATTTTACCCCCTAAATAATCTCTAAAATATGAAACACTCTCAAAGTTTATTTATTCGGTCTAATTGATATTTTTAGAATAGTTTAGAGGATAAAATTAAATTTCAAATGAAGTTTGGGTTCCACATCAGTAACTTCTGTTATAGAAGACAGTTGACGGCATGGATAAAATTGATGCAAAATTGAATAGCTTAAATATAAAATTGATATTATCAAAAGAATAGATATTGAATTGATTTTTGAGTGATAGGTTGGCGGTAAAATGATATTTTCTCTTTATATTTAACAAAATTTACTTTTTGCACAATTTAGCTTGAATAATTTTCGAGGTAAATTATGCAAATGGTCCCTTTTTTTACATGATGTGTCAATTTGGGCTATATTATTTTAATTTGCTCGATTTTATCCCTTAATTTAACAGATTGTGTCTTATTAGTCTAATAAATAATGGTTGTTAAGTTTGGTGGACCGAAAGTCTACACAATGTGTCAATTTGGTCTTTGTAATTTACACAATGTGTCAATTTGCTCCTTATTTTAATTTACAATTGACACATTGTGTAAACTACAATGATCGAATTGACACATAGTTTGACTTTCCGTTTACCAAACTTAACAATCGTTATTTATTGGACTAAAATGACCCAATCAGTTAAATTAAAAGACAAAATCGAGCAAATTGAAATAACAGAGACCAAATTGACACATCGTGTAAACTATATGGATTATTTGTATAATTTACTCTAATTTTTATTCTTTAAAAATGTGAATTTTTTTTATAGCAATGATTCAGACTTCCCACAAAATATCACCCTCACTCACTTGTGATTGATCCAAGTAATAAAGAGAAAAAAATAAAAATAAATAATACAAACACATTATTGATCCACATTACTATGGAGGTGGTGAGAGCCTCCCAAAAAGGGTCCTAAACATTTTCTTTTTTTTAATCACTATAAAAATAGACAAAGTTCAAGGGGAGACGAATGAATTTATTGACTGTTAAAGCAAAGAACACCAACTACATTACTTAATTTGTTAATTACTTGTGAAAATTAGTTTTATCTGTGGGCTGAACCCTTTGGGTTAAATCAGCAGGGCTTTGGGATAAATCGACAGCCCGTTGTGGACCCATACCCATGTGATTGGTTTGGTTCATTGAAAACTAATATGCTTTTGTTTGGCAATTTGGGTTGAGTTGGGTTGAGTTAAGTTGGGTTGGCTTTGGCATTATTTTAATAATAAAAATTGATTTTTTAGTTTAATAAGGGTAAAATATCACTTCTAATTCATAATTATTGTATTTTTTCTCTCACAAAGTCAAAAAATCAAAAAAATCTATCCCAAACGAGATTTTTTAGTCCCGGCTAAAATAGTTCAAAAGTCAAAAAGCCAACCCACTTTCCAAACGAAATTTATGTATATTTATTTTGGGTAAATTATAAATACACCCCCTGAGGTTTGATTAAAATAGAAATTGTCCATTGTGTTTGGAAAATAACAAATACCTCACTGTCAAAATTTTTTATTTAACAAAATTAACTGAAAAAGTGAAATTTCTAATTGTTCACCTATACAATAATAAAATTATCTAAATTATTAATTGAAATAAAAATTTAATATTATTAAAAACTGTTAATTGACTTGATGATTTATTAATAAAATGACCTATTTGTTACGAAATTGGAAACCTCAAAAGTCATAATGTAATTTTTAGAACCACAAGGGATAATTTATAATTTAAGTAAAGCTCAGGAGGTGTGTTTGTAATTTACCATTTAATTTTCTAATATACCGTGTGTGTGATTTTAACTGATGTATGAAATTTTATATGATTTTTTAATTTATTAATTATCAAAATTGTATTGATTGTGAATGTTAGAAATATTGAGTTATTGTTAAATGAAAAATTAAATTAAATAGAATAAATAAAATTATTTTTATTGTAAATATTAAGAATTCTAAAAGAAAATTATAATATTAAAAAATAAAATTTATAATGTGAAAAATTATAAAGAAATCTCTTAAATTTTATATTTTAATTTCAAATAGATTTGACCCGTTTCTTTCTATTAACTCATCTTTAATTATATAGTTTTATAGCATGTAAAGTTTGGGAGCTGAACATGTACTACTAAGTGCTCATTTGGGATGCTGGCTAGTTTAGTGATTTTTTTTAGTTATTTGGCTATTTTATAAGATGAAAAAAGTTTTATATTTGGGACGATTTGTGGTTTTTTATTTTTTATTTTTTTTTTTTCTGCGGCAAGTGTAAAGACCCACAATTTGGACTCCTAAATTCACCCACAATGATGTAGCTAGGGAGATAGACACTACCAGTCTGTTTGGTAACGTTTACGTTTTCAGTTTATATTTACAAAAATTTTATACACTGGTTTTTGTTTATTTTTAGAAAAATATAAACTACAAACGCGTTTGGTAATTGACAAAATGTTTAAAAAAATTTAAAAATATAAAAAGAGTGAGAAATGGCAATTGGTGGCAAGTGGCGGCGGAAGACGGTGGTGGAAAGTGGTGACAGAAAGAACACACATGTGACAACCATCTCTTTAATTAATTAAGTTAATTATATGATTGATCTTGATTATGTGTTTATATGTTAATTATGTACTATGTATGAATTGAATTGAAATGAAATATGATTAACAGATATGTATTTGATTTGAATTGAATTTGTCTGAATCAGTAATTTCAACAAGTTAGAATTAAATAGTTGGATAGCAAATAGAGCCTACGTCACATTAGTGTGATTAAATTTAGTTTCACTTAATTTAAATCCAAAACGCAAGTCATGATTATATTAATTGAATTATGAGTTAGTCATTGATTATGTGATTTATTTGTGCATATCTGTCCAAATTGGAAAAAAATATCTGTTGGAGTTACGACTTCAGAAAACGGAATGGAGGACATAAATATGTTAATGGGAATTTTTAGAATCATTTGGAAAGTTTAATTAAAAATTGATTCCGTCTGATTCGTTAAGTTATGTTTGGTTGGCCTAAATAGATATATCTGACATGGTAAACATATTTGAGCTCATCTTATTCCTTTCAAGAAGCAAAAACGCATAGAGAGAGAGAGAGAGAGAGAGAGAGAGAGAGAGAGAGAGAAGATGAAAAATGTGTGGAAATTGAAGGAGAGGCTCAAGATCAAGCTTGTGTTCAACAAAATTATGCAAGATTGAGTAGCTATGAAGGCCCTAGGTACGAATTCTCTTCTCCTCTTATGGACTTAAGATGAGATAATCTTAATTTCTTAGAAATTGAGTTGAAATATGATGAATTTATGAGGACGTAGGAGTTTTGTAGGAAGGTTTTGAATTGAAAAGCTATATAAACATATATGATCATAAAAGTGATGGGTGGTGGTGGTAGTGGCTGGTGGGTGGTGGTGGCGGGTGGGTGGCTGGTGGTGGCTAGTGTTGGGTGGTAAAAAAAAAAAAACTCAAAACTCAAAACAGAAACACATTTTTTGAGTTTATATTTTTTGGCCAAATTTATAAACTAAGATCACTGATTTATAAATCAAAAATTTACCAAACAAGTTTTTATTTGAGTTTTTAAAATTTTTGTAAATATAAACAGAAAACTTAAAACGTAAGTGTTACCAAACGGCACCTACACAATTGAGTGTGTGACAAATCAAATGTTAACACCTATCATGCCACATCATTATGAATAAAATTGTGAAAGGTTTTGTGTGGGTCTTAAACATTTTTTTAGAAGGGGGAGAACTACATGGAAGTGAGAGTTAGATAAAAAAATTACGAATATATGAAAAGGTGCAAGTGACACTTACACCCCCACAACCTTTCATTTGCACCCCACCACAAACACTTGCACCTCCATGTACTTGTAATTTTTTTTCCCCAACTCTCACTTGTATGTAGTTTTCCTCCCCAAAAAAATTAGTCTAAGGTCTCTCTCATTTTTAATAGTGAGAGAGATCCACAATATTTATTTATGATATCTAAGGTTCCCACCCACCCAATATATCTCACTTACCAAAAATGAGTCCCACTCGAATATTTTCTCATTCTCTCTCCTATTCTCCTCTATCTCTCTCTCTCTCTCATCTCTGCCGCTGCTGCTCTCTCCTCTGCTCCTCTCTCTCATCTCTGTCGCTGCTTCTTTCTCCGTCGCCACCTCTCTACCGCTGCCTTCGACGTCTTGCCCATCTCTCTCTCTGTCTCTCTTTCTCTTTCTTTTTCACATTTCCAAACGCTGCTCAGCACCACCAAGTTCAAGCAAATTGAGCTCTGAAACTTCCACTCACAAATCGGAGGCTAAGGTGTGTTCTTCGATGGCTTGATTGGGCAAAAGTGATACACATTTACTTATTATTAATTAATGACTGTAGTCAATGGCCCTTTAGACAATACAAAGAGAGTAGACTTAGCAGTAAAGAGAGAGAGAGAGAGAGATAGCGACAGAGAGAGAGAGAGACAGTAGAGCAAGTACACAGTATATTGAGGAATTTATCCAAGATAAATAGATATAGAGAGTGAAACCAAGGATATCAAATCTTCATAGGATTCAAGATCTAGATCACATAAAGAGAGTAATACAAACATTTCGAATCTGTTTTTCCATATATTTATATATATTCAAGTCAACCCTTAGAGTCAACTGATTCAGAGCTTCGGAAATGGCTAATTAGTTGATCAATGGTTGAACAGCTTTTTACTGGTTACTTTTCAAATTCAATAGTCGTTACGTGCAATTAGGTGTTAAATTTGAATTTGGTTTTTTGGTTTTTTTTGAAGAAATGAATTGTTACGGTTTTGGGAGGTTGATGAAATAGAAGAAAATTCAGCAGCTTTGCATACAGCTATCAATTCACTATGAACAAAGCTAGAGAAATTTGTGAACAAAACCTGAAAAATTTCAATTTTCTCTAGATTTGTTGGATTTGAACCCAGAGAAATTCTCCTTTTAATGAATCACTCTCAATATATATGTATATTGGTTGTTATTGTTGCTTATTTGAGTGATAGATTTTGTGTATTGCACATCGTGATTGGGAAGGAAGATAAATTTCTTGTTTGAACTCAGAGAAATTTTAGCAAAAATCAGAGAAATTCTCTAGAAATCTAGAAAAATTCTCTAACCTTCTACGAATTTCTCTGGAGAGAAATTCTTTGGGAAGTCCAAAGAAATTCCTAAAGAGAATTTATCTGAAAGTCGAGAGAAATTCTCTGAATCAATGTTGAGGGACCTTAGATATTATGAAAATATTAAATATTCTTTATACTATAAAGTTTTAATATCAGAGACCTTAAAAAAAATCTCCTTCTTTTCCATCTTTTTTTGTAGTTGAATGGGGAAAGAAAAAAAAAAAAAAAAACTGATTGATATATAAGATGTGACATTTTATTTTATTAACTATTTTGTGAATTTTTTTTTTTCTTTAGTAACTATTTTAACCAAAATCTTTGATACCAAAGACCACCTCAATTGTTATAAAGAAAAATGTAGTATCATTTCAATGTCATAAATTTGAGTGGTTGCAGTGTAATTTTATGGAGCGGACTTATTTACCAACAAGTTTGTTTTAATATATAAAGTATAAATTATATTTGTAGTTATAAGTTTTATTTTGTCGCTTTTACGTTGGGTCACTTTTCACTTTTGCTTTTAAAGTTTATTATTTATTTTTTCTATTTACCCACTTTTCCACAATAACTTCTGGATAATATAAAAAAATATATTATTATATTATCATTTAAATTTATATTAGAGGTGTGAGTTATATATAAAATAAATAAAATACTTTTATATTACATAATTGTTAATTGTTAATTGAAGTTATCTTTAGAAATAAATTAAGTAAAATTTAAAACATGAAAGGCTAAAATGGAGAAAAAAACAAAAAAAAAATTTATGAGAAAGTAACCAAATATAAATGAGCAAGTATAATTAACCCATAAATAAACAACTATTAAAATGATAAATTTCTCAACTACATTGATAAACTTATTAATCTAACAAATAAAACTCACAACTACACATATAAACAAAAAAAAAAAAAAAAGTAAATAAATTACATTAATAAATTTTTTATTTATTGCCACAATATATTTTTCACTCAGGACTTACGCATAAATTTGTCAAATTGGTAGGACTGGTTAATAATTATCCCATAAGCTTATTTAACAATTCTTTCCAGAAGTAATTATTTTAATTGATTTTTTTAATTCTTTATAAAAATATATGTAAAAAAATAGAGACAATGATGTGATTAGATATTTTAATTTTTTTAATTATTTTAATATATATGTATATATATGAATCATGATTGGCAGCTCGAATTTCATCTTGTCCCGAATAGCTCGAACTTTGGCTTCCCAGTTAATCGACCAATTGTCTAGCAAAAAAACTGGCAGCTGCGGTTGATAAGATGACAAACGTGGTAGACAAATGTTACATTGATCATCCGGGTGGTCGTCCGATCGGTCATTCGGGTATTCGATTGGCAAATACAAATTCGGACCATTTGGACAAGCTCAATTGGAGCTATCAAGAATTATTCTTTGATGTGTAGTCGTTGGCGTTGCAGCGGCAATATTTTAATTTTAGGGAGTCCATTTATATTTTTTTTAAAAAAAATTACTTTTTGCATAGTTTAATTTGAATTATTTTTATTTTTAGAAAGTGTGAATTTTGTTGTCGCCATAGAAATGGAGAAAGTTGCGGCAAGATTTTAATTTTAGGGAGTCCATTTATATTTAAAAAAAAAATAGTTTTTGCATAGTTTAATTTGAATTATTTTTATTTTTAGAAAGTGTGAATTTTGTTGTCGCCGTTGAAATGGAGAAAGTTAAAAGAAGCAATCTATTAACAAGAAGATAAATTGTCGACTCTGTTGTTTTCACAAATATTTTAGCAGGATTCAAACTTTGTTAATAATTTTTTTATTTTTTGATCGAACCAATAATTATCCCTAAGATCTAAAGTATAATCATATAATTTTAATTCTTGTAATTGAGTATCACGTAACTGTAAAAATATCAATTTAAAAATGATACTCTATAATAATGTGTTATCTTTATTGATTAGCATGACATTCATAGAGTGTCGGATCTTAAAGAAAAAGAAGAAAAAGAGAATTGAAATTGACAAAATAAAAAGAAGAGGAATAAGTGAAAGTACAAGAAATTTCAACTAGAGATGGAGAAGCGTAAGAAAAGCTAAAAATGGAGATCAAATTGAAGAGAGTATTGAAATAAGAAGAAAAAAAAATTTGAGGCAAAAGAAGAACAAGAAAAGAAGGGCGAGAACAACAACAAACAAGTATACTTTGTATTTTCCTTTGTAATAGACCAAACCCTACTTGAAATAGACGCCGAGATAGTGGCAGAGAAGGAGACAACATTGCCAATGGAGGCTGACAGAACGCCAATATCCGAGGTTGAATAATCCAAGATCAATGCCAATGTTTCCAGTACTTAGGATTTTTCCTTTGTTTTGTACTTTTTCTTGCAATTGTAACTTTTATGTTGAACAATGTTTGTTTTATTGTGGCCGACGTGGCCTATGCTTTGTCGTTTGAACAAGTTTTTTCTTTACTAGGCCGAAGTGTCTTTTTGTCTATGAATCAAGTTCTTTTTTTGACCAAGTGTTGAATGCTCTCTTCATGCGTTCTTTATCTGCCTTCACTACTTTGTATGCTTCCATACTTAGAGTGATATTGCAATTCTTACAAGTATACTTTAATTGTATAATCACTTCGAGTTAGAACACATCTAACATGTATTATCTTGGACACACTTCATCTTTGGTGTACCCTTAGTTGGTCACCTCGGACTAACTTTCCTCGGGGTCACCTTGGACCAACCAACCTCGGCAGATTGGCACTTCATAAAAATTCTTTAAGCATCTTGCAACAAGTGTTATCTCTTTTACTTGTGCTTGCTATCCTTAATCAAAACTTCATTCTTTTAACCCTTCCAAGTTTTGACAAATTGTTTGGTTATCTCGGGTAACAAATAGCTCAGGTATTCCCTGATCTAATTACCTTGGTTGACTACAATTTGTAAATTGTTGTAAAAAATTTCAACAAACAAGTGTCAAGCCTACTCCTCATTCCTGCCCTCTAATGTGAACCTAAGTACCACTTATGTTCACATTAAGCATGTATCTCCAATTTTTACTGAAATCTGATTCAAACAAAGATTAGTCGAGGTTTTCTACCTCGGTTCTCTATTAATCTAACTAGATCAAACTTAGTTCAACTCTGTCGTATGGCAAGTATAACTCAACTCTACTATATGATAAGTCTAGGTTACTCGTCATGTTTTACTTGGAAATATCGCCAACTTAGTTGAACTCTACCATAGGCAAGTTGAGTTTAACTCTGCCATATGGTAAGTCTAAGTTATTCATTACGTCGCCAACTTAGTTCAGCTCTACCATAGACAAGTTAGGTTCAACTCTACCATACAATAAGTCTAAGTTATTCGTCATGTTTCAATCAGAAACATCGCAAACTTAGTTCAACTCTATCATATGGCAAGTATAATTCAACTCTACCATACGATAAGTCTAAGTTACTTGTCATGTTTCACTCGGAAACATCGCCAACTTAGTTGAACTCTACCATAGGTAAGTTGAGTTTAACTCAGCCATATGGTAAGTCTAAGTTATTCGTCACATCGTTAACTTAGTTCAACTCTGCCATAGGCAAGTTGAGTTCAACTTTACCAGACAATAAGTCTAAGTTATTTGTCATGTTTCAATCGGAAATATCGCAAACTTAGTTCAAATTTATCATATGGCAAGTATAATTCAACTCTACTATACGATAAGTCTAAGTTATTTGTCATGTTTCAATCGGAAACATCACAAACTTAGTTCAACTTTATCATATGGCAAGTATAATTCAACTTTACCATACGATAAGTCTAAGTCATTCATCATGTTTCATTTGGAAACATCGTCATAAGACTACTTTAGTCCTATCGCACAAATATCAACAATAAAAACAAAATCAAGAAAGCGTTTTGTTAAAACTTTGGCTAATAAGATCAATACATAAATCTAAGAAAAACAAAAACTAATAATAAAAAAATTTCAGATTGGAAGTGTTCCAGGGTCATGGCAACTCCTTGCCATCACTGTCTTTTAGCCGATATGCTCTATCACCAGCAATCAAGATAATTCTGTAAGGCCCTTCTCAATTTGGGCCAAGCTTGCCCTCCTTAGGATCCTTCTTGTTGTCGATAACTTTCCTCAGGATGATGTCTCCAACCTTGAACTCTCTTGAGTTGACCTTCTTGTTGTAAGCTCTAGCAAGCTGCTGCTAGTATGCCCTCAGCTGAATTGCTGCTCTCTTATTTCTTTCCTCCAGCAGGTCTAGATCTCGGGCTAGGAATGTCTCTTTAGTCCCATTCTCTACTCCCTGGGTTCTGATTCTAGGGATGTTGACCTCTAGCTGGATAACTGCTTCAGTGCTATAAGCCATGGCAAAAGGAGACGGTCCAGTTGATCTTCTCAGCATAGTCCGATATACCCAGAGTACATTGGGCAACTCGTCCACCCATTTTCCTTTTGTTGCTTCCAGCCTCTTTTTGATCCCATCCAATATGGTTTTGTTGGATGCTTCTGCCTGACCATTACTCTAGGGGAAACTAGGAGTAGGGCAATAGTTCTTAATTTTGTACTTAGCACAAAAGCTTTTGATCAATTTATTGTCAAATTGGGCGCCATTGTCTGCCACAATGGCTCTTGGAATCCCAAACCTGGTGATTATGTTCTTCTAGATGAAATTCTTTGCATCCACATCTTTGATTTTGGCCAAGGGTTCTGTCTCTACCCATTTTGTGAAGTAATCAGTAGCTACTAGCAAGAACTTTCTCTGTCCAATTGCCTGGGGCAATTGCCCAACAAGATCCATGCCCCACTGGCAAATAGCCAGGGGTTGGATACTGGATTCAAATCTACAACTGGCTGGTGTATCAAAGGTGCAAACATTTGACACTTTTCACACTTCCTCACGTAAGCTTCAGCATCATTCTGCATGTAGGGCCATTAGTACCCTTGAGTTATGGCCCTATGAGCAAGTGATCTACCCCCAGTATGGCTTTCGCATACACCTTCATGGATCTCGTACAGGAAGTCCTCTACCTGGGATGGGTGCACACATCTCAAAAAGGGCCCAATAAAGGACCTTCTATAGAGATGGCCTTCTACTGTCAGGCTGAACCTGGCTGACTTTAATCTAGTCTTGTGTGCCTCTTTTCGTTCATCTAGCAGCTTGTCATCCCTGAGAAACCTCACTATTTCATCCATCCAGCTTGGACCCATCTGCACACACATTGCTTCATATTCTGTGATCAGTGGTTCTACACTTAGGCCTGACAAAATAATCAACCATTATTGTCTTTGCCTCCCATGATTTCATCGCACTAGCTAGGTTAGCCAAGGCATTGGCATGACTATTATCATCTCAGCTAACCTGCTATAGATGGTAATCCTGGAACAAAGCTAGCAGTCTAACAAACTCTTTGACATAGGCTATCATTCTTTCATCTCGGGCTGCATACTCGCCCGTTGTTTGATATACAATAAGCTGGGAGTCACAGAAGATTACTACCTCATCGGCTTCCATGGTTGCTACTAGTTTTAATCTTGCAATCAGTGCCTCATACTCTGCTTTATTGTTTGAGGTTTTGAACCCCAAACGAATAGACTGCTCTATCATTCGCCTATTTGGCGATACTAACACTATTCCTGTCCCCCGCTTAGTGACAGTTTGAACTTCCATCAACAAACATGCAGAAGGAATTGCTGATGTAGATGTCGTAGGGTCTTGCTTGCTCTATTTTCTTCTGTTTTGCTGGCGTGGGGTCTTTTGGGCCCAATTGAGTTTTTTCTGGTTCTCTTGGACATCCTAAGCCGCAGCTCACCAAAGCCCGACGTGGGATGGCACTAGGGGTGAACTCGGCCACAAAGTTGGCTAGAACCTAGCCTTTAATTGTTGTTCTTGGCCTGAGCTCAAACGTGTGGAAGGGAGAGAGAGAGAGAGAGATTGAAGCCAACATTAAAGGAGGAAGAGAATTAAGAAAGAAATAGGGGAGATTGAAGAGAATTGAGGGAGTTTAGCTCCAACACTTGTTAACTCGAGGCTTAAGGTAGGAAATTCAACTCCTTAATTATGAATTTGAATTACTTGGTGTAAGAATTCAAGAAAATTAGAAGATTAAGCATGAGAATCAAGCTAAAATTTGATAATTGTAACTCATACCATACATGCATGCATAATTCCTTCTATTTTGAGTCTAATGGTTAAGGATTTTCACATACATATACTAAGTCTACCATAGTCTTGTAATTTCATCATGTTTTCCATCAAATTACCTTAGTTGATCATGTTTTGGAAGCTATGAGTTCAAATGAATACATGCATGTCATATTTATAGCATGTTCTTACATTTCAAGTTAAATTTTTGCATAATTGACTTACTTTTTGGGCCTCGATTTCATGAAATGAACTTCAAACCATGATGTTTTACAAGTTCTTAGATATTTTCCAGAATTTTGGTTCAAGAAAATGAGTTTCAAGGTGTGGAATTCGAGTTTGGAGCGTGGGGGCATAATCTAGAAATTTCAGATTCTGCACTTCTGCTCGAGCGTAAGATTCTGCGCTCGAGCAGTGTAGACGTCCCCGAATGTCCCGGGAGGATGAATCCCC